TTTATTATAGGCAATTTAAACCCAAGCGTTTCATAATTATCATTATGTTGACACGAATTATTAGAATGGTTTGAAGAACTTGAATGAATTTCACAATTAGCTGACTTGGAAGTTGAATACGTTTTAATTATATTCTGAGCAAGAGAAATGTAGTGATCAAAGTCTTGCTCAAAAATATCGCGAGTAGTCAATTCTATTTCTTGATTTGAAATGTTTAAAAATTCTATTTGGTTTTGCAACTCTTCGAACTCGATAAACAAAGCTTCAATTCTAGATAATTTCATCGCAAGCTCAGTTAATTCTACGTCTGAAATAGATTCTAAAGTTTTTAAATTATCGATAAAATTCTTAAATTTAGTTAAACGTCCTTTTATATTGCTACGTTTAATATTGAGAACCTTAAGTTCTCTAGATTCGGTTTCTGTAGACATTGCGATGAAATAAATAAAAAACTAATAAATGTATTAAAGTTGAATGTAGGTTAAAATTGCATACGATACGCTCCTCGCTTCGTAGTCAGCCGCAGCCTCGCTCGACTATCCGCAGACGCACGATTTGTCACTGGAGTGAAGAGCACAGGTAGCTGCATACACGTAGACAAAGGGTGACGTCACGCGAGTCGACTGTTGCTTGTCGATGCGCCGATAATGGCTGGAATTGATATTATAAAACGATTGAAACAATTTTAGAATTAACTTAGAAATATGATGCTCCTTAGCGGTAAAAGCGCGTTTGTATATTTGATCAAAGATGTGTTTGTATGAATATATGCAAAAATGGGCAAAACTAATTTGTTTTCAAGCTAAATTAAATGAAATAAGCTAATAAGCAGCGAAGAGCAATATAAATAAAGGCAAATACGATGCCACGCAATGCAAGCGTGATTTTAGCGGTTATAGAATGAATGAATGAATCACAAAGAAATGCGCACGTGGGATGACTTTCAACTTTGATGATAGATGAATATAATAGCAATTAGATAATTTAAATTTGTTCAGTAATTAGGCACTCACTATAGCTAGATATAAGCGTAATTAGCGAATTTTTTTAATCATTTAAACGCTGAAAAGCCAAAATATTTGTTTGCAAATCAAAGCAAAAGGCAATTAGGCAATTAGAAAAGGAACGGGCTCACTTGAGAAAGGCAGGAAGCAACAAAAGGAAAGCAGTTCCAATAGGCGATGCTGGCTGACTTCCACGTAGGCGTGAGGCTCCTTCGGGATGTTGCTTGATACGTAGACCGGCGTGAGGAAGTCTAGTTGCACGGGCTCCGATGTAGTCACAGCCCTTTTGTAGTCCTCCAAGAAGGTGTAGAAGGCTGGACGGATGCACGTGTCGATGACCTTTGTTTGTCCTTCGCTCGGCAAAATGGTTGCAACTTCGAAATTGTTGTTTCTGGCTTTTGCAGGTCCTGTCACGGTCGCCACTTTGTTCAGTACAGAACAAGAAAATAAAAAACTGTTGGAAATATCTTAGATTCGCGTTTAATTAGAAGAAGTACATTAGTGCGACATGTGTGCGCTTGAGTGCGAGAATTGCGAGAATGAATCGAATGAAAGAGTGAGTGCTTGAAGTTGAGTGACGTCGCCCCCGCGCCGCTCGGCTAGGTGTCAAGTTCGGCGCAGACAATATGCGTATAATAGAATTTTGTCATATATATTTGGTAAATAAAATATTAAATATTGCGGTATATAAATAAAATGAATGATTAAATGGCATAAGCAATCAAAAATAAATAAATTATAACCAATAGTTTAAATTAAAAAAAAAACAGCAAACATCACGAAGCGGCCAGGGTGTAAAATCTTACCAACTTTAAATTTCAATAAGAACATATTTAATTCTTTTTTATTTAATTTATTTATCTCTGATATGTCTGTCGCGTCTAATTCAAATGTCGTGTTAGATGTGAACTTATCATGTAATGTCTTACTGATTTTATTTTCATTCAGCAATAAATTTAAATCTTTATTTAAATTATCAAATTCTCGCGTACCCTCGGACTTGACAATTTTAATAGGCACTTTTGTATTTAAATCTATATTTTTAGTCTTTTCATTCTTCACTTTATCATTTTCTTGGCATATTATTAAATCTTTATAAGAATCACATTTCAAACTTTTTATTAAATGTTCCTGTTTTTCTATTTGCGTGTTCGTCTGTATGCCTAATTTGACTTTCTCTGAGTACGTTCGAGCAAACTTCTTGCCAGCTAGAAAAGCCTCGTCTACAATTGTCACCATTTTAGATAATTTCTCTCGATAAGCCCCATCTGATAAATATTGATCTTCCAGTAAATCCCAGTTTATTGAATGTGACATAACACCCTGCAACGTTTTTTAAATCTTACTAATATTATAAATGCGAGTGTTTAGATGGATGTTTGTTTGCAGGTATCCCCAGATCTGCTTCATGGACCCCGCTGAAATTTGGCATATATGTAGGACATAGTCTGGAAGAACACATAGTCTACTTATTAAGTTTAATTTAATTCCGCGTAGACGGAGTCGCGGGGGACAGCTAGTAAGAAATAAACAAGTCTTTCTCTTTACTTGTTAATTTAATATTTTCTCACCTGCAAGAAAACAGCAGAAGCAGTTGACCAGGACAGACAGGGAACAAGCACTAATGGCTTAGGCCAATTTGTTGCTGCTAACGACGCCATCTAAAATTCAAACCTCTATATTTTTAAACTGAATCGAATTAAACATATCGATTAGTAATATAAATCGACATATCGAGATTAATCGATTTGTTATAGTCTGTGGTGACAGCTGTCAAAATTAGAATGTTGTCATTATATACTCTATGCTTTATGGTACCTAATGTTACTCACATGTCCACCCATAGAGAGTCCAGTTACGCCTAGAGGACCAAGCCCATTGCGTTCGCACCAATGGAATAGCACCAATGATTCCAGTATTAGACAACCACCCATTACAAATATATCCGACACATTATGCAGAGACGAGCGGCTGTAGTAGACATAGAAAAGATGATATAAAAGGCTAGTAGTCTAAACCTCAATTTCAATTAAAAGCCTAAATACTTTTCACCATAGACAAATTAGAAATTTTACGTAAATGTTGCAAGTATTTAAATATATTTCGATTACAACAATGTTTCTCACTAATGCATATATTGAAATTTTTACATACAATAACTAAAACTCAAACTTTTTATATTTATTACTTACATTTGGTCCGTAGGTTTGCGAAGACCGTAAAATGGATTCTCCAATATTATGCCACCAATCCCCGCCTCCTTGAGTAGCGGCTTCACCATCAGATTTCTGCGTCGCCAGAAATACTATCAGAAATAAAAAAATAAAAAATCCATTTATGATTTAGCGGTAGCACTATTATTTTTGGAATTGTCTATGGTTTTTTGGATACTGACAACATTTAAAGGTCATAAGTCTTTTAAAAAGATTCTGAAATGAACTGAAATAAATTTATTTTATTTTACAAAATGTATTATAAATGATATCAAATAAAAATTTTCATATAATCTTAACTATTAGATATGTATTTGTTTACATAACTCTAAACAATAATCAATAGTTATTACTCAATAATATAGATAAACCTACAACTCAAATGATAAGTCAGTGATAGACCTCAATAATTTTTCTAATCTTTGAATAAACATTAAATTCCTATTAAATATTTCAGAAGTACAAAACCAGTCTCTAACTAATAATAAATTATATGGTTAACCATGGGTTTCTGAGACCAAAACTCAGATTTAAAACCTATTGTTACCTCTGTTTTGACAGGGATGACAATATGTTTTATACAGATTTGATTTTGATATCAGAAACCAACATTAGTCTAGTTACTAGAATAGGCACTAGTACTTTCATCTGAGTTATAAGAATCTATGAATAAAGGATGACCATCGATTTGACCGGAAGATTTTAAATTGCAAATATTGCAACAAAAAACATGACTTCATTTTTACTTTCTCTTTTTGTCGTCTCCATGTCATAACAATGGTATTAACAAACACACACGCAACCATACATAAAAACAAACTAACATGCTTGTATAAAACATAACCCTCTATGTAAAAAATCATTGCAAGTGGTATGTTACCTACATGATCACCTGTGCCGGCTAGATGAAGACAGACAGGTTTGCATCCTTTCTCCTGCCAATGTAACGGCAACAAAGCTTGGAAGTGTGCCTTCTGTGCTATCTCCGGAACTATTCCTGGTAAATATTTCTCTAGCGGTGTGAGAAAATAGCCCTCTAAGAGTTTACAGTCCGATAGATTTTGTTCCTTGAATTTAAAAAGTAAATTTATTATGGCATTAGGTTTTTAAAATAAGAATTATGATTGAGACTTTGATTGATGGCAGTGTGATGTGTTGAGAATTTAAATATTTAAAGAATTAAATATTGTCTACTCCTCAGAAGCATGCAATTGGTTACAAAAAAGTGCTGATCTTATGAGAATTAATCAAGAAATTATTAATTATACTCTAAATATTGTTAAATAAAAAACTTCATATATATTAGTAATAGTTTACCTTGGTAATAGTAACTGGGTAGTCTTTTTCTACTAACTTATAGCATTCATCCCGATTTGAAACTATTTTTCTGAATTCAAATAACCTAGAAAGTTGGCATTGATGTCAATATTCCAATGATTTAATAGACAAAGGGTTTAATACATCTATTATGTAATTAAGGGCTAAATAAAGATTAAGTAATTGTTTACATTGTTCCTCACCTTCTTAAATTCTCTGGTTTACCCCAACCTTTCGTAAAGAATTTGGTTATGAGTATACTTCGGTATACAGCATCTAACCTGCTTGTAGACATAGTTTGAAAAATGGTTGGCTACTGATTTTGTTTTATTTGTTAGAAACAATAGTTTCTTTTACGTCGTAGTCTAAAATTATATTAACATTTTAACGAAGAAACTAGAAATAAGTGTCATGTAAGATGCATTTTGTCAATGTCAATGATTTTTGATAGATTTTTTTCGGCGTGGTCAGCTGTTCATAACATGACATTACGTTCACAAACGGATTTAGGAAATCGACTTTTAAATTGGGTACGGGTTTTAATAAAAATAATTAAAGCAAAATTATACTGTTGATGAAATATTATTTTGAAAGTTTATACAGATAAACAACTTTTAATTGTATACTTCTAAATTGTCTATTTAAAAGTAAATTTTTAATCATAAGTCGAAATCAAAAATTTGTTGTTAAATTTTCTTTCCTCAAACTACTCGAATGCTTAATACTGCGTAATTTTCCCTATTTCTTTACTATGAATTACTATTGAATATATTTCAAAAATGACAATAACAATAGCAGGTGGTTGATATCACCTTATATCTTACGTAATTATATGTGGGTCGTCACTGACTCAGTTGCCAACAAAATAAAAAATAGTTCCTATTCTGCGCTCCAAAATATTATGTAAAATTTGATATTTTAGATAGATAATAGGTGTGTTTACCGAAATTGATCTTCTTCTATTCGTATTTGGGTATTAATGTTGGGCCTGTTTCGTTTTAAGCAATTGGGCGATTAAATGGAATTACCTACTCGCTGCTAATTTATTGTAATTTTATTCATCGTTAAACGACTGGATTTGTTTGTGTTTTATTATCTTTTGTGTTAAATTGATAAATGCTTAATAGAAGACAAAGCGATGTATAATTTATATGCTTCACCGGACAGAACCGTAATATAAAACGTCCAGGTTCGATCCCTACTATGTAGCAATTTGTTTTTCGATTTAAGAATTTCATATGTATTCCATTTAAGCGATGTTCTTACGGTGATGGGAAACATTGTTATTAACTTGCACACAGTGTCGAAGAAATTCAATGATTAATGATAAGTCAACCAACCCGCACTCGGCCAGCGTGTTTGACTATGGCCTGGTCACCCCAATTTCGACAAACTTTGAGCATCCTGATCTGGACGTATGAGATGACGACCAATTTATAAACTACGATAGGAACTTTTAGAATACCCAGTGGTAACAGGCAGCTCCATCAATTAAATATTATAATGTAATTATTTTGCTGAGTTACATTTTGATTTAAAAGAAACACGAGGTCAGCCGTCGGCTTGTTTGCTTTTGTCTCATAAATATGACTACAAAGGAAGATATTTTTTTTATTGTAATCTAAGGCACTGACTATTCAGATCACGTAAATCGGTAATGTCAATGAAAAAGGAAATGAGTCAAGACGTCAAACCAGCAATAGAAAACTCTTCTGTCGGCGGTTTTTCTGGAAAATCAAATTAAAATTACAAAATGTATTTAAGCTTAGCAACAGCAAACTAGGCTCTGCTTGTCCGGTGACTTTTACTAAGTGACAGCATATTCTCTGGACAGGGTTGTATTCTCAAAAGTCAGTTCGTTTTGTACCTAATTATTATTTCAATTACATTTTATTTCTTTAATATTATTTTAATTAGCTTTAATTCAGAAATCCGGTTAAGTATTATTATGATACATTCGCGGAAAGAAAAAAATGACATCATTTCTGTTCACAAACTATGCCTGCCTAATATGGCAGGACTGAAGGGTAAATAAATGTGTGAATAACAATTATTAATTATAACATATTAATGATTAACAAATTAAAAATAAAATAATTCCAATTCAAATATTGAAAAATTTAAAATAAAACTTCGAATAAGAAATAATGTCCTGTAAATCATATAAGAATACATATTGAAGACTGTCTGAAGTTAGTCTAATTATATAAAGACTTAGTTATATGGAGACGATGCCTTATTTAAAATTGACTTACAAAACCATAAGAACTTTATGTGCTAAAATGTACTTAAACTTAATGTTTCTCGCAACTTCGTCGGCGTGGAGTTTCAAATCATATTTTAAATAAAAAAACGTTCCAACTCTAAGAATTTGAGTTTTATTTTAAAGGAAGATAGTCAATTTTCCTTATCAAATGAAAACAGGTGCATACTAATGCCTGTGATTTTTATTTCAGCAAATAGAATTTATGCGCAGTGTAAGCGTAGGCGACACGAGTTAGTATAAGGATGCTCGTTGTCTGCGGCGAGCATGTTTTAATCATCGATACACGGTAACGAACAGAAGTAAGTTCCTAGTGGCCATTTATTAAAAAAAATTGTGATTACAAAAGTGGCGCGAAAAGTGACGTTTGTTATATATTTTTTTTTTAGTTTTTATTGTCGCTTTAGTTAGTAGGTTATAGTTATGTGTTTAAAAAAAAATCAACACCTTTTATGGGAGAGTTTCTTAAAAATATAGTAATTTAAATTAACTACGATTTGAATGCGTTAAGTTAAATATTAGGTCGTTGAATATATCACTTATTTGATTTTATTGACAGAAAACCTAATACATTTTTTAAAATAATAATAGGACATTTTTTTTTATTAATTTTTTTTTCGACTTAAGAAACGTTGTAAAAAAATCTGTATTATTTGTTAAGTACAAATTAACATTGACCTATTAGCATTTAACAAAAGCCCGCGTAATGCATTACGTCATGTTGGTCATTCACAAGTGACGCACAGACAGCCAAGATGTGTCGGTTGAATACAACGAAGCCTTCTTTATAAAAATATACGCGCCAGAGTATGAACTCCTCATCTTCACCCTAGGACTTAATAAAACCCTTGTATTGATTTTTGTAAAGCTATTTTGTTTGATTAATTTCTTTTAAATTATAATTAATTTATTTTCAGATGGAGAGCAAATTGCTCTATTTAGCACCTTTGGTGCTTTTCGCTTTTCTTCAGCCCCAAGTCGAGGGTACGTACAAATTGTTTTAACTAATGATTTATAACGAACGTAATCTTTTCGCTAAAGATAACTTATTACAGACTGTAGGCACCAGTCGCGTGGCTTTTTTTAGCAAATTCATGTGGCAGCTTGTTCCGTTCCTTAGCCTTGCTCTCCTTTGCCCTTAGTGACCACGTTGACTCTGAGTGTGGCAATAACCTTGATAATGAATATCAAATGGCGGTCACAAGGGTCCCGCGTGGGCGGGACTTGGCCGATACTTTATAAGGTTCCTGTCAAGGCCTCATTTATTGTCGACATGTAGGCTGTGTTAATCACTACCTGGTACTTTGATTAATTATATTTATAGAGATACATATTAGGCAATATTGTTATTAATTAATTCATTAATCTTTATTAAATATTTGAATGAACGAGCTTAGATGTATGTATGTTAGAAACATAAGAGAGGAATACAAGGACCACGCCACAAGAAAATCCGTGATCTTTACCTACATACCGGGATGACGAACCTGAGTTATTTTGAATGAAAATGCTCTATTTATTTATAATAAAAGAAATTACACTAATTAAGATAAAGTAAGTTTAGATACACGCTTATTGTTAAATTTTTTTTTTTTCAACAGCTCAAAGGTACTACAACTACTACTCGCCTCGGAACTACGTCGGTCGTAATCTGTACGAGCACGGACGATCAATATCCGACGAGCTGGTGAGATGCGGGCCCCACACTTGCGGGGTTGGTGCCCACTGTACACACGGCAGCGTGCGGCCCGTCTGCGCCTGTCTACCGGGACACTCCGGAGATCCACTATCGCAATGTATCAAGATCGAGTGTGTCAGTAAGTATTAAAGTCTGTTTCCACTTAGCAGAGGATACCGCCCCAGTGGATAACAGAATACGTGATTTGATACTATTGGAAATAGAGTAATCAATACGTGTACTATAAAATTTGTTGTATTTTTGTCAGAGTACAAGCTAAGCAAGAGATTGTTGTCTTATCTAATATATAAAATTCTCGCGTCACAATTTTCGTTCCCATACTCCTCCGAAAGGGCTTGACCGATTCTCATGAAAACATCTATTTTTTATACCCGTAAATGTTAAGGGTAGTCCACCGCTAAATAAAATACTCGTGTTAGTGTTGTGTTGTTACCATGTTCCTCCGAAACGGCTTGACCGATTTTTATGAAATTTGATATGCATTAAGTAGGTCTGAGAATGGCTACTACGTGTTTTTTAATCCCGAGCGAATGAAGTGCGGGCGATAGCTAGTAATATATACTAACATCTAAATGCAATTAACAGTAAAGTTCCCCAAAAATTTAATTTACTTTCTATTAAAAATCCTAAATTAATATAGTTTTTCAATGCGTAAACGTAACGTAGCATTTCAAAGAGAAATAATTTAATTGTTATGCAAGTACTTATTGATTATCTTATTCCTAAGTCCATATACTAATAAGGATGAATAAATATAGCGCGTAGGTTTTGTCTTCCGCATTACGATACATCATTGTCACAATCTAAGTTATGCAGTATACTATTTATGTATCACTTTAGTAAATATTAATTTGTCATAATAAATTGTGTGGAAATGGGAACATAGGGAAACAAACGTCCATTAGAACATTTACGATTTTATTTAAATAAATGTGAAAGTCTTATTTCTCTATGTATGATTTATAAAAATTAAATCCTGCGAATATTTTACTTCTCGAAATTCGGTAAATAAAAAATGTCACAGTATGTCGTTGATGTCTTTTACTTGAGATAACTGCGGATCTATATTCTGACCAAAGGTTACTTAGGTACTTAGTAAATATAATTTTTTATTTATAATGTTACCACATTTTTGTAGAAAAGTATGGTAAAGTGTACCTAATTATTTAAGGTAATGAAGAGTGCCGTGGACACCAGTCCTGTGTAAACCAACACTGCGTCAACCCGTGTGAAGGAGCGTGCGGTGTCAATGCTAATTGTGATGTGAGTTTAGCTATACTGGCTACAATAATGATATATATCCATTTCCTACATCACATTGTATCACGAAGTCTATGGTTAAAACCTAAAACCCATTGACGTGATCATCAGTTTTCGAAAAGTATTATGAAGGTCTCTTACACTAAAATTTATCTTAGGTCCGTCAACATGTGCCGGTGTGTTCCTGTCCAGCGGGCTACAC